AAATGTATTGTCAAAATGTTGTATTGTCGAGTAGGCTATTTCACAACAAAAATAACTCCTAGCACATAATTACATTTCTTAACTGAATAGTGTCAATGCATTGGTTATAATTAAGCCGTGCCAGTATTTTATATTTCTGCCTAATTGACAAAACTGTCACTTAAAGGGATATTTACAATTTAAAGGTGACACTATTCAGGTAAGAAATTTAATTATGTGCTAGGAGTTATTTTTTGTTGTGAAATAATAATTTTAATGCTCTTGTGAATGTTTTAGTAGCATTTTAAAATAATTGCCTTTTCTCTGTTTTTTTTTTCTTTGCTGCTCTTTAGGTATGAAGCTGACGAGTCTGCACAGGCCCTGGAATAATACCATTTTATCCTGATCTATTTAAGTATTTTTATCCAGTTTTGTTTTATATTTAGTTTTACACAATAAATCATGTGTTTTAGAGATTCTGAGTTGAAGTCATTTTCTTCACAGTTGAAATATTTTAGCATGTCATTTAAAATGTTTAAATGTTTATAATTTGGGCCCCATAAGGGTTCTGTATATGGCCCACCTTGGCCCACATTATTAGAACCCATTTGGGACCCATGTGGGCCCATATAATGGGCCCATATAATGAAAATCTAAATGGGCACTCCCACTTAGAGCCCACTATGGACCCATTACTTGCACCTATGGGTGAACACACATGGGGTCCATGTGGAGCCGATGGACAAAATTCCCAACAAGAGTTAGTTTGTTCATACATTGGTATGCCATGAAGATAAAGAGAATGAAAGCATGTGCTCTAAAGCTTCATTTTCGATGAGAGCTAGTTTGTTTTTGCAACTTATGCCATGAAACAAGTCCTTATTAATACAGGACACTTCTTAATGTGTTAGAAGTTTTATGCACAACAAGTTATGTTAAAGCGTCTATGCACAGCAAGAGTATGTTAGAACTTATATGAACAGCATGAGTGTGTTAGTGCTTCTAAGCAAATAAAGAGAATGAAGAAATACACAAAATGAAGCTGTAAAGCTTCGTTCCCAATGAAAGTTTGTTTTTGCAACTTGTGCCATGAAATAGGTCCTTATGAAGAAGCATACATAAGCTGTAAATCTTCTTTCCCGGTGAAAGTAAGTTTGTTCATGCAATGTTGAGGAAAGCTTGCCCATATTAAAAATGTTTCTTATATGTGACCCTGGACCACAAAACCAGGCTTAAGTAGCACGGGTATATTTCTAGCAATAGCCAAAAATACATTGTATGGGTCAGAATTATAGATTTTTCTTTTATGCCAAAAATCATTAAGATATTAAGTAAAGATCATGTTTAATGAAGATATTTTGTAAATTTACTACTGTAAATATATCAAGACATACATTTTGATTAATAATATACATTGCTAAGAACTTCATTTGGACAACTTTAAAGGTGATTTTCTCGGGATTTTGATTTTTTTGCACTGTCAGATTCCAGATTTTCAAATAGTTGTATCTCGGCCAAATATTGTCCTATACTAACAATCCATACATCAATGGGAAGCTTATTTATTCAGTATTCTCTGAAAATGGACACTTATGACTGGTTTTGTGGTCCAGGGTCACATATATGAAATGAAAACTTATTTGCAATACAAGAAAGACAATTCTTAATGTGTTAGAAGTTTTATGCATATCCAGTAATGTTAGAGGTTCTATGTCAGGTTAAGTTAGATTTTCTATGAACAGCAGTAGCATGTTAGCAAATAAAGAGAATGAAAGCATACAGTACATGTGCTGTAAAGCTTCATTCCCAGTGAGTTAGTTTGTTTTTGGAACTTATGCCATGAAACAGGTCCTCATGCTTCTTACATGTGAAATGAAAACTTGACACTTCTTAATGTGTTAGAAGTTTTATGCACAAGTCATCAAGCCCTTGCTGAGCTTCTACGCACAGCAAGGTTATGTGTTACAGCTTCTATGGACAGTAAGAGTGTTAGTGCTTCCAAGCAAATAAAGACAAAGAAAGCATATGCTGTAAAGCTTTTCCCAATGTCAGAATCACTAAAATATACCACACTAAAATATAACAATAATGCAATGCAAAACTAGGTGGACTCGACAGAGACCAATTAAGATGTTCTGCAGGCAGTAGTCCAGAAAACACAGCACCAGCAGTCAATGAAGCTCTAACTAAAATGTATCTTATTACATTACAAATACAACAGTAGTGCTAGCTCCACTTTTCTTAGCCTCTAGTATTTATTTATTTATTGTATTGCTAGAAACACTAACATATCTGCTGTTGTTGTGGAGCAACTTTGAATCTTTGAAGAATCAATCAAGATGCAGAGTTTCAGAAGTCAAAATTAGATTTATTGGTGGAGACAACAAATCTGAGCTGCCTGCAGAACATCTTAATTGGTCTCTTGTCGAGTCCACCTAGTTTTGCATTGCATTATTGTCCAATGAGCATATAGGTAACTTTTTAATCTATGTTATTCCCCGTGCTTTCCAAAATTATTAGTTCCCTTTCATGGGAACTTCGAACTGCGTCCTCTAGGGGTCTCTATGGGGAACGCCTCGTCGTGACCCATGTCTGAAGCATACATTGAAAAAAAAAACACCAACTCGTTGGTCGGCGACAGCCATGACATCACTACCGGTGCGACTATAGTATAAATAGGCGCCGGGAGCACACATCATTCTATTCTTCGTCTTCATTGTTTTGTTTAAATCGTGCATTTCTGTGGTAAGAGCGATCTCTATTCATCTCATTATGGCGACCACTAGCAAAGCGTTTAAGGATGTGTGCATTCGTGTTGACGTTGTTTAACATCTGATGACACACACGATCTATGCGTTATTTGTTTGGGCGAAGAGCACGCACGCGATGCCTCCGAGGGGGCAATCGGCGTGCACTGCGAGCGTTTTTTCCAAGGGAAAAAGCTCCGCTCTCGTTTGTCTCTCTTTTCGAGGAAAGAGGGGCAGCCATCTGCTTCCCGCAATTCAGGACTTCAGGACTGCCTTCCGCTGCTGAGGCACGGAAGGGAATGAGCTTGTGGGGATCGCAGGTGGATCTGGCCGATGAGTTTGAAGAGGGGTTTCCCTTTCGCGATCGTCGGCTGTGCACGAGAGTGAGCCGCTGGAGGATGATGTTATTTCATTAACATTGTCTGATTCAGGGGCCAGTGCTCTGCTGGGATCAGCCCAGCAAAAGCAGGAAATGTCTGAGGAGGGCAAAGAAGATCAGGCTGAGCCTTCCCAATCCTCCTGTCCTGCGTATGATGAGCTTTTGGAAATTATGGAACGCGCCACGGCGAGGCTTTACTTGCCGTGAAGCGGGTGAAGA